AGAGGACAAAAAACGAGGGGCTGTGACAAACTGTTTTGTCGAAGTTTCACCGACTCATCAGGAGGCTGAACCCTCAACAGTCTGCAGAATCCCCTAACTGATTACACTGAAAGTGATAATCCACCTCAACCCCGGTCGTGGTTAAGCATCAACAACTGCCCGACAACTGATACCTTGAGGTGGGCACCAACCACTGCCCTCAAGCTACCTGTGACGAAAATCAAAGCAGACTTTCACTTACCTATAGTCTGTTGCTTTCTGTACCGATCTGTGCAGGTCTGAATGATTCTGTATAGTCAGTATAAGTCCGTAGTCTGCGGTATGTGTATATGGTCATTCTGTATTCTGCAGCTGGGGTTGGCCCCCCTACCGTCTTCACCCGAATAGAATGCCCCGTCATTATAGCTGTTTATAGACCGAAAGTCACACCAAATACAGCTATAATGACCGTACGTTGTATTCGGGTGAAGACGGTAGTCCTTAGCTTTGTAACATGCGTGTCTGCATGTCTGCTGTGAGTCTGTGTTATGTCTTGTTGTCTTCTATGCCAGGGGATTGGATGCCTTTTTTTCTTTTTTTCTTTTTTTCTTTTTTTCTTTTTTGTCTAATGTGCTGCCTACCCCTGCAGAACTACCCTGCTACCCGCGCGGCAGAGGTCAAGACCCGCCCCTCCATACAGGTCTGGACCTCCCAAACCCCACACCCACCTCCTCGTGGTTCAGGGTAAGACACGCCCCTACTCTGCACTCACTCCTTCTGAGGGCATCACCGCCCTCCATGCTGATGCCCTTGCAGAGAGATGTGCTCCCTCCACCCTTGTCCCAACTACTGCTTAACCCAGTCAAACTACCCTGCCACCCGTTCAGCAGGGGCCGACACCCTCCAGCCTTGATATTGGTGCAGCAGACTCCGCAACCCCACCCTCCTCCTCGCGATTCAGGGTAGACGACTCCCCTACTCTGCACTTGCTCTCTCCAAGGACATTGCTGCCCTCCATGATGATGCCTCTGCAGAACGGTGCTCCCACCCCCACCCCCCTGAG